CATTACTTCTGTAGAATTTTTGAATTCAATAATTTACATTGTATAAAGGCTAAATTTTGTGCCAGACCTTACCTAGAAGGGTAACACATTTACTTTTGGTTAAAATGGAATTTGGAGATTCCCAGCTGGAGCCCTATATTACAGTGTTTCATTGGGATAATTTTTAGGATGTATGAAAATAAAAAAGGAACTATTTTCTTTCTTTCGTTTCAAGTTGCTTATGCAGTTGGGTGAGATATTTGATATTTCATTCATATTCCTCTTGAGATAAGGAAGATAAGGGAGTTATCTTAAAGTGAAGAGAACAAGGTTGAAAAATCATTTACAAGAGAAATCCACAGGTATAACAACAACCTTGGAATGTTTGCATTTCATTTCTCCACTTCCCTCCTAATACAGAAGTTGAAGGAAATGCCCTAGATTTACTAATTCAGTTATTTCTGTTGGCTAAAAAATGTCCATTTGGTTTTGGATTCCTGAGGCAAACGGGCTGGCCTTATGTTCTCCACTTTTAGACACAGGACGTTTCAGCTAGAAGCTTTTAAATATTTCGGTATTTTGCCTCTGCCCTATGCTGTTGGGAAACATGAGCAGGGTGTGTCATATGAGGCTAACCAATTTCCCCACAGCAGAGGCTACAGTTCTGTGAGGGGGTTTTCTGCTACAAAAAATGTCTAGTGAAACCACAGGCTGCTCCTGAGTCTTGTGTATACGGTACAGGCTGTGGCCTCAAAGCAGGCCAGTGCTGACTTTGTATTATGAGCACAACTGCCTCAAGTAAGTGAACTCTTTATCCAGGGAGTTGTTACCAAAAAGGTCAAGACAATATATAAAAATTGGTAGGTCTGATAGGTCTCACCAGTTTGTGTACACACGTATGCTTCATTAGCTTTTGACTGAAACATGCTAGCACTGAGTTTAGGATATCAATTTGAAGCAGACATGTGGTCCTACAAGGATTTTATCCCAGAAGTAAAAACATTATTTGCTGATAATTTATACCAAGCCAGGAGATGTGTAGGTGAGTGAGGAAACTCCTGTCCATCGTACTGCTGGAAACTGGATATTGTTGTGTTCTAAAACAACCTGGAAATTTTCTTAAAAATATTTTCTTTAAAATTATGTATAACCATGATACAGTTCAATGTGTGAAGCAGCAGTAAAATGGCCTCAGGATAGAAGACATCTCTACAGCACACAGAAGATAAGAAGACAAGAGGGAGGGTAACAAGCCATGCCAATGCATACAGGTAGACTCTGACACAAAAGAGAAAGGGAAATCTGCTGAGGGATGCAATGAGAATGGCAATCTGGTTAATGTGGCACATGGAGAATGCTTAGATTGAAACATCTTGAACCAATATAAACACTAAGACTGCATTGCTGAAGGCCAGAAAAAGGGTGCTGGAGCAGAACAAGAATGAAAATGAAGAGACAATTAAAATCTGACTGTTAATTTATAGCTGATGTATGTATTGGATTTGCATGGCAAAGTTTTGGTAGCCAGGGGCGACAGGGATGGTTTCTGTGAGAAGCTGCTGGAAGTTTCCAGGATGGACTCGCCGCTGGCCAAGGCCTAGCCAACCAGGAATGATAGTAACGCCTCTTTGATAACATATTTAAGAAGGGGGGGAAAAAGGTTTAGAGCAGTTGAAATTGCCACCAGAGAAGAGTGGAATGAGAATGTGTGAACAACTCTGCAGGCACCAAGGTCTGTGGAGAAGGAGGAGGAGGTGCTCCAGATGCTGAAGCCTGTGGTCCCCCTGCGGCTCATGGAGGAGACCCACACCAGAACAGGTGGATGCCCAAAGGAGGCTGTGATCCTGTTGGATGCCCATCTGGAGCAGGGTCCAGGCAGGGACCTGTTGATCTGTGGAGAGAGAGCCCAACCCCACACTGGACCAGGTTCCTGTGAGGGACTCATGCTGGAGCAGCCTATGCCTGAAGGACTGCACCCTGTGGAAGAGTGACACATGTTCTATCAGTTTGTGAAGACTTTTTTGTTGCATTTGGACTCATGCAAGGGAAGCTCATGGAGGACTCTCTCCCAACGGAGGTATCTCGTGCTGGAGCAGAGGGGAAGGACTCCTCTCCCTGAGCGGTGGCAGGAACTACCTCCAGTGAACTGACTGTAAACCCCATTCCCATCTCCCTATGCCACTGGGGTAGGAGGTAGAACTTAGAAAAGAGGGAAGGGTGGTGGGAAGGTGTTTTTAAGGTTTATTTTACTTCTCATTCTAATGTTCTGACTCTGTTAAATTTAATTAATATTCTCACTTCTAGTCGGTTTTGCACATGATGGTGATTGGTGAGTGATCTCTCCCAGTCCTTATGTCAACCCATGAACTCTTTGTTCTATTTTCTCTCCTCTGTTCAGTTGCAGAGGGAAGTGATCAAGCGGCTTTAGTGGGTACCTGGCATCCAGCCAGGGTCAACCCACTGCAATGGAAATAGTGTTTAGTGGTGGCGTATTTGTGCATTCTGTAGAACTTGCAAGACTCAGTGACAACTGGGATATGAGGACTCATAGACAGTTAACCCAAAAGAGATACCTGACTTGCAGGTGTGAGGAAAGATTGCTATCCTGGATCTAGAAGGAAGTATGACTCCATTTGACTGTACTGAACTGAAGTTGGTGTAAGTCATTCAGAGAGACCACAGGGACAAGTCATGAAGCGCAGTGGAAGATCCTCAGCCTAAACAAACAGATGATGCTATGGTTAGGGCAAGGAAAGTATCACAGAAGTTAAGATACTGAGACAAAAAATGGCAGTTAACTGTTGTATGTATCAGTACACTGATTATGAGTCTGGCCAGGGAGAAGTCAGGAAAGACTGAGAACACTAATGCAGTGGAATACAAGAAGGAAAGGTGGGCATTTTAAAAGCAAACCAGTGGTTGTATACATGGATAGGATTATCTCTTTCCATGTCTTTTCATGATGAACTGAGGCCAGGTTTATTAATCCTTGGCATGAAACAACATGAAAAGCATGACTAAAGAAAATCTGAGAACTGATTATAAGCATCAGCTGAGTGAAAATGAAACCTAAATCAGAAAGGATAAAGTCAATGAAATTCAGAACAGGTGAAATCAGATTTCATATTTGTTAATTCTCCATAAAGGTCAGTCTGAAATTGCACACTTAACAAGTGGCACAAAGACTTTACTTTGGAGCAAGTTCTTCTAAATTGCAGTTCTACACGCAAACTATAGAGCTGTACTTTCCAATTTATTGCCAAGTACCAAATTGTATTTAGTGGAAGGTTTTGGTGTGGAGACTTGAGAAAGCAGAATGCAAGTCACATATGCATTCCAGACTTCACTAAGTCCTTTTTACATTTGTGTACAAAATCCTGGAAAAGGGACCGCTGAACTCTTCCCTATATGCTGTTCTGTGGTCTCCACTGACTTTGAGGGCCAATGGACAGCTATCAGCTCTCACTTCTGCTTACAGACCACCCTGCCACTCTGCTTTTAGAGTGATGCATCTTCTACTTCACCTGCTGAGGATAGGTCCCCCTGCTGTGTTGTCATGTACAGAATGACCTTCTCAAAGTATTCTAACCTAACTCTTGCACACGGAGATTGTCTGAAATGTCTCCTCCCTCCTCCCAAATCAAAATAAAAGTCTTCAAGTTATTTCTACACCGAGAAGTCACACATTGTGATAAGGAAAGCAAAGAGTCTGCAGCTGAGGCAGATCTATCCTCACCCAAGCCAGGTTACAACTCTGAATGGTTTCAGTCCATTACTATTACCGGAACAAAGCACAGTCAGAAATTTTGAAATCACATTCAAAAATCTCCCATTTGCAGAGCCTAGGATGAATCTGGGCTACTCATATATGCCCATATGTGCAGGGATATTTACATGATGACTTTATCTTTGGGATTTTAGCCCTACAGCTATGCTATAAAAGGCTCCTACCATAAAAATCTCTTTGTGGCATATGGCTTCTATGACACTGTAGTGAAGACACCCACTTTCTTGGGCAGCTTTTTTCCCTGTGCTTGAGGAGGGCAGTTGCTGTGGGAACTGCAGTGCCATATCCATGTGACTAAATTAAAAGCACCATGGCACCAATTAACACCAAGCCTTTGGGTACACCCCTTTATGAATCCGTTCAAATATAACGTATCAGGAATCAAGATAGTGAGCTCTCCTATGGTTTTCCATACAGTCAGGATGCAGAAACTGGCTATGAAAAGGTGTGCACTCCAGGTCATCTGGAAATGAAAGGCTTGCAGCACCATGCACCAGGGAGAAGACCTGCCAGGATGTCTCACAGCCACCTCATCCTGGCACAGCTGCGCACCACATGCTGCCCCTTACGGCAAAGAGGCCTTTGCTGACTGATCTAACCCAGGCCATGGGACACTGAGATGTCATATCTAGCAGCTGGGAACTTCTAGGAGATGATGAAGTCATTTGTCACTGAACAAATTTAAAACATAGGCCTGTAATAGTCATCGGGAAGAAAATTACCTCAGCCAAAACCAGCACAGGTGGTCACAGCCTCTACACTAGCTCCAACGAGGGTGCATAAAGCCCCACCACATCCCAGGATTGGGTCAGCCTCTGCTACACATATGGAAAGAGTATGAACATGTCTGGCATGGTGCAAGCGTGATAGTTATATGCCACTCAGCTCTGCACATCTACTCCCACCCCTCACTGTCTCACACTGCTGATCTAGCTGTGTGTGGGATGTGTAAACAGATTGTTTTCAAAAGGTCACGTTGGAAAGAGATCTAAAATATGAGCAAATACATGAAAGTAGTTTTTCTTGCTTCTTGAAAGCCTATTCAAAATGTCACCAGTGCCTTTGCTGCACAACTTTCTGCTAGCCTAGCTCAGAACACACTACCTTTTCAAGAAAACGTGCAGCGTTCCCTACTACTTTGTCCCTGCAGAAACAGCTTCCTCCAAGCAAAAGCAAACTGCTCAGCAGAGATGTGGAACTGTAATAGCACCATGCAGTTTCTTTCTACACCCACTTATGCAATTCCAAGGCAAAGCTCCCACACATGATTATTGAATGGGCACATCTACACAGTTTGTCTAAGCATGGCTCAATTTGTGGATCCTCAAATCCCTTTACATCAGCCAGCCTGAGCACTAACTGAGTCAAGGCAATGCTGTCTGGATTCAGCCTTCCAGGTAGGCAAAGTGCTCAGCTAGCCCAGTGGCTGCAAGGTTCAGTAGTCTCTGCCTCCATCCTGGATCAGCACAATGTCTTATCACGAAAGATCAGCTTGAGGAAAGCGTGTCATCTGAGGGAAAAAAAAAAAATCGCGCATTTCCTGGTGTCTGTAGTCAATGGAGAGCAAAGAGTCGAACAAAGTGAATCCTCCTCTCTTCTGGACTGTGAACATGGTGACATGGGAAAAAATTTTACATAGAAACAACCAACTAATATGGACGCTGCTAGTTCTGATCACCTCCTTTTTTCCCTTGGAAAGGAGAAAACCCATAATTTTCATTACCAGCATCATTCACTGCATGTGTCCCAGTAGGAAATCTCTAGTCACAGTTGATGCCTTACAAAGTTTCAGCTATATACACTACTTAATACTTACACATACCGTACATTACATATCCTTAATGCCACCCATCGCTTCATTTAAGTCATGGTAGCCCTGGGGGCCATGCCTCTAGGAGCTGCACACGTTAATGTGAGATAACAAGTAAGAAAACGTGGTATTCTTGTTCTTATGCACAGCTTAGAATGTTACATAGAGTAAAACAGACCTTTTGCAAGCTTCTTCAGAATTGACTGTTCACTTGAAACATCCCCACACATAAGTCCCTGCAGAGTATCAAGGTTTATTGTGACAGGGGACAATGTCTTAAAATTATTATTTGCAATAGGCTTTTTTCGTGCCTGTCACAAGTTGTGGTACAACAACAGTCAGTCCAGATACTGTTATGAAAAAAAACCCACAAAAATAAATCAAATAAAATAATATTTCTCATTTGTTAGAACATTCTTGCTTAGTTTCATTTTATATTTCTAGCCCACAGAAGGCTTACAGGAAACTTCAGCTGGTAAAATGTAAATTTACCGTAATTGTCTAGTAGTACCAGATGCAGCTGACCACAAGCTATGTGCTTCAGAAAAAAAAAAAAAAAAAAAGGTGTTCATACTAGCATGGTAACAAATGACAGGAAACAAAATTGCCTGATGCTAGCACAGGTTTTTGAGCCTGTGACTCAGAAAAAAATGTGTACCATACCACCAAAGAACACCATTCATTCTGATGAAATTCCCACAAGGAAAAAGACACCATAGAAAAAGTTAAACTGTGGAGAAAAACCAAGCTTTTGTTTTGGTACTTTACAGCATGCTGCTCTGAGGGCTGGTGGTACTACTGGCACATAAAGCAAAAAGCTGAACCAGGGGCATTCCTTCCCCTCTGGCAGGACAAAGAGGTGCTCTTCCATGTGACCCTCACCCGAGAGTCATAAGCAGAGCTCTTAGAGCTAGAAAAGCTCTATTTTCTGAGTTTAGGATCTGACACCAACATTGGGTGCAGATATTACACAGAGCTCCTCTTGGTTCTTCGGGACAGGCATAAACTTTGAGAATTCCAGGTGGTCATTGGAGTTGAAGATCACATTGCTCTGCTGTGGAAACACTCCTCTGTCAGAGCTGTGGCTGGCTGCTGTCCTCCTCAGTTCTAAGTGGAAGAGAACAAGGAACACTGTTGAGTCATCATGACTCTCTTCTTTCACAGGTTTCCTCTTTCAGCCTTAATTAGACTGCCCTTGACCACTCTGATACTCTTTTTGCTACTTCTCCCTCATACCATCTTCTACGTTTAACATTATTTGTCTTCATGTGTGCCAAGTGCTTGGTGTCCTCTCATATGCTCCTCAGATTAATTTCTTTCATGATTGTTTTTTTTGGTCTTTGGCCTCTCTCCAGTCACACACGGTTGCAAACCCCTGGGGTAAAGTGTGTATTTTATTAGGGGCTGGTCAATAGTTGCTTCATGACTACTGTGCACCTCCTGCTGCCTGACCATTTCTCTCTTTTCTAGCTTACCCATTCCTTACTCCCTTCTCACCCCTCCTTCACTTGTGTCACACCATGCTCAGGCTGTGTCCCGACAGGCGTAGGAAGCCCATGGGGAACAAAGCCCAGTAGTACATTGGCCAGGTGACTCCTGGGGCCTTCTACTTGCTACAATGAAACAACCCCGTGAGACTACTTTACCAGGAAGTGAGCTCACCTAGCTCCAAGTGGCCCTTTGGGAGACACAAACGATATAATATTCCATTTACATATACGTATACAAAGATACACAGTTCTCAGTGTTCCAGGTCGTGTTGTCCATATGTGCCTACTTTCCTATTTGGTTGTGTCCTTTCCCATATGTTTTTCCCTGTGTAACACTAAAGGAAAGTCTTTGGGGTAGAGAGCTTCTCTTACTGTTTTGGCATGATGGCCTTGGTGTTTTGAATAACACAAATTGCTGTTATAAACACAGCCAGGAAGGGGAGGTAGGCAGACCAGGTGTGTACAGTTTCTCAAATCTCACAAGCTATACAAAGTCCTTAAAGACCTGATCCTGAGTTAGAAAAGTCACATGTGCTTGTGATACAGAGCTGCAGAGTTGTAACCAGTTGCTTTCAGAGGAGTGAAAAGTACAGGCTGAGCACCCTGAGCACGTAAGTCTCCTAATAGAAAAGCCTGGGAGGAAGTGAGTTGCAAACCCAAATCACCTATTACTTATCCTTAAAAATTGCTAGTTTGCTTACTTCTGCAGTGTTGGCCTTCAGGAGCTCAGTAAACAATATTTTGGGGTTTTGTGATGAGAATATTCATGAAGGCAAACATTATAATTCAGTTTGCAGTGTAACAAACAAACCAACAATCCAAACCACACAAATATCCAACGAAGGTCAGCCAAAACACCTGATTCAACTGCAAGCATGGAGATGAGGGATTTTGGGATGAATGACCACCAAGTCTTCAGCCAAAGGCAACCACAAGGTGCCAGCAGCTGCCTCATGCAGCCCCATTTCAAACTACAAGAATCTAATAAAAATGAGTCTGCTTTGTTTACCCATAAGGTGCCAATAATTTATACCACCTTCTGGAAAACAGGAATTCCTGACAATCATATGTCCACATGTCTGTTTGACATCCAGTTCACCTGCTTACTAATTTTTTGAAGTATTTTTCCACTGGCTTTGTGGAAAACAAGGCCTTAATGAGCTGAGGAGCAACAGCAGACTTGACCTTGGCAAAACATGAAGATGAATGACATGATGGTTTTAAGGACCTGACATTTGATTAGCTGAGCCTGCACGTGCAACAGCCATACAACAGAGTGAGATGTGTAGGGCCTGCAGGAGGTCAGAACACAGTAGAACAAAGTGCAAAGGTAAGGTGCCAAATTTTCTAGTTGTGTAAATCTGCTCAATTCCAAGTTACTCCTCAGCAGAACATACCAAAAGTGGTATAAGTGTGAGACTAACTACACCTACCACCTGATTACAAGAACAGGCTTTGACAGCCAAAGGGGACGAGAAATGCTAAAGGTGACATTTGCTAAGGTGGCCACGTCTTTGGGCATCTTCCTCGATCATTTATGATTTTCTCCTACTTTGCAAGTAAGTTTAGCATTGCTGTCTACTAAATACCTGAAGATATCTAAATGTAAAAATATAAAAGCCCATAAAAGTAAAAAAATACAGCCATTTGAAACAGCTTATGTACTCACAAAGAACTGGAATGCAATTACTTTGCCTTTTCAAAGGGTCAAATAGTGGTACCAGCAACTGAGCTTTTTTCTCACTGTTTACTAGTATAAGGCAGTGCATTGTACTATACATATAATATTTATGCTTCATTGGAGCAAAGCAGTTCAGTTGCAAATGAGGGATAATTTTTCAACCACAGGAAGAAACTTCCTGTGTTCTTTGGCTGCTATGGGCAAGTTAACTGCAGCAGGAAAACCTCATTCAGTATCTTCAGGTAGAGTTTCAAGCTACAATACAGGAACTCATTTGTCAAAGGGAGTAAAAACCCCAAGACTTTGTCTCCAGCAACCTTTGTGGCAGCAAGAATATGTGTTAATTAACCACAAAAAGGCATATATGGCAGCTACTCAGGTTTGCTGAACATTACAAAAAAGTTTTATATCTCTGTTAAATGTACTAGGGACCAATCCAATATCTCCTCATTTCAATGGATAGCAATCCCTTTATTTTAGTGAAGTTTGAATCATGGCCAGAATGGAGATGCAACAGGGATTTTAATATAGTAAAATGGAAAAAAAAATTAACTTCTAATTTTTAAATTTAAAAGGTGTGTCACTTGTGTCACAGACATAGGGTATAATAAACTTCATACCTAGACTTACAAATTGCTTCTCTCCAGTCAAGGAAAGCAATATGGTTTTGGGCAATGTGTTGTTTTCATGTTAGGATTTCACTTTCATGAGAGAAATATCCTCTGTAGTGAATCAAATGTAAATAGAGTCTTAACAGCACAAACCATAGGTTTACAGAGAGCAAACCCTACCAGGCAAATCAAGACTTCAAGTATATTTCTCAGATTATTGCCAATGTTTCATAACACTTTTTCAATAATTCTCTGTAACACCTTAATTCTGGACATATATATAAAGTATACAAATTCCACTTGTGACAGGGCACTCAACTCCCATAACCTCATTTCAAATGTTTTTTAAAACTCTCCAGCTAATTTTGCAGCATGCAAAACCACAACAGATTAATAAGAAATTGTCTAAAAGTCATGAATGACTATAGGATATAGTCATCAACACTTGCATAAATCAGGCGATTTCAACAGGAAAGGTAAGCATTTGAAGCCTATCTTTTTTTTAGAAGAAGGTGTGAAGATTCTTATAGAGAGTCTAGTAGGTTCATAGTTCATCCCTGAAAGAGGAAGTGTATGACTGCCTTATTCAAGAAACCTTAAAGTGTCGTTGATTTTCCTGACAATTCATTTCTTTCAAGGTGAACCACAATAAAATTCCAGAGACTTTTGACCATTCTTTACCATATGTAAATCTTCGCACCTTACACATCGAATTTTCTTTAACACACCTGCTTTAGGATATAGAAACTTCTCATCCAAACACTGCAGTTTGATTTGCCAGGTTTCACAGCATTTTGCAGGAGATGGTAGGGACTACTGCTTCTGTCTTTAGAAGAAAAAATGGAAAGAAAAAGTATAAAATAATTGACTAAAGTCATAGAGGAAAACACAGACCAGGTGAGCAGGTTTGCTGATGTTACCATCATCAAAACAAATATTGATAATATTTTTGTTAGCCTTCTCCAGCTTTTTCCCTCAGTTAGATGTCTATATTAATGAAAACCAAGATCTCCACCAGAATAGCAGAAGAAAATTAATTGCTCAGGATACAGATGTGTAATACTAGTAAACAAAGAGGCTTCATTATCATTTTTTAAGAAGCTGAATTTCAAATTAAGGCAAGAAGTTTCCATGCTGAAAGTCTATTACGTTCATCCTAGCAGGCCAAGGTGGGTTCAACCCTGGCATGAACTGCTACCACCAGTGTTGTGCGAACAATTAAAAAGATATCTATACACATCAAAGTCAAATCTCTTGGAAATGACCCTTTTGTTTGTCCCAGTGCTGTCACTTCCTTTTGAGAAACAGGAATTAGAAGAGATTTCTGATGTAATTTTATCTATAGCCTTTTTTGTGGTAGAAACCGCACATATCTTCTTTATAAGTGCTTATACACAATGTTATTTGGTTTTTTGAAGTAATGATGTTCTTGCCTCTCCTCTTCAGCTTGAAGGTGCTATAATTTTTAGGAGTAATTTTTAATATAGGTACATTTAAAGACAATTCCTATTCATCTGTTCTTCATCCAGGACTTTTCTTACCTTAAATAATATTTTTCACATACAATAAGCAATGTATATAGATTTTTGTTCTCTAATCATATTCCACTTTCATAGAATCATAGAATGGCCTGGGTTGAGAGGGACCTTAGAGATCATCTAGTTCCAATGCCCCTGCTGTGGACAGGGACATGTTTCACTAGATCAGGTTGCTCGGAGCTCCATCCAACCAGGCCTTATATGCTTCTAGGGATAGGGGCATTCATAACTTGTCTGGGCAACCCATTCCAGTGTCTCATCACCCTCGCAGTAAAGAATTTTTTTTCTAATCTAATTTAAACCTACTCGTTTTCAGTTTGAAGCCCTCTTGTCCTGTCACTGTATGTCCTTGTAAAAAGTTTCTCTACATCCTTCTTGTAGGCTCCTGTCAGGTCCTGGAAAGCCACAATTATGTCACTCGGAAACCTTTTCTTTTCCAGGCTGAACAAACCCAATTCTCTCAGCCTTTCCACATGGAAGAGGCGCCCCATTCCTCTAATCAGCTTGGTGGACATCATCTGGATGGTGACATCAACACCGGGGACCCCAGACCTGGATGTAGTGCGCCAAGTGGGGTCTTACAAGAGCAGAGGGACAGAATTCCCTCACTCGACCTGCTGGCCACGCTACTTTTGATGCAGCCCAGGACACAACTGTTTTCTGGGC